AGAGATGGCTCAGAGGTTAAGAGCACCGACTGCTCTTCCAGAGGTCCTGAGTTCAATTCCCAGCACCCACATGGTGGCTCACAATCATCTGTAATGAGATCTGGTGCCCTCTTCTGTATACATAATAAATAAATAAATCTTAAATAAAATAAAATAAAATAAAATAAAATAAAAGGGGGGTGAGATGTAGCTCAGTGGTAGAGCACTTATCTAGCATGTGTCTGAAGCCTTGAGTTAAACCTCTATTACCATAAAAATAAAGTTAAAAATATTTTTTAAATTTCAATTCCTGGTTTAAAAAAAAATACAGATGTCTCAAAGATTAAGGGAATGTTCTGCTCTTCTGGAGGCCCCAGTTCAATTCCAAGCACCCACATAGTGGTTCACAACTGCCTTTCTAGGAGATTCAACTCCCTCTTCTGATATCTGCTGCCCATGAATGGTACACATACATACACTCAGACACATTTACATACACATTAAAAAACATAAATAAACAAGCAATTTTTAAAAAGTTTTTCAAGACAAGGTCTTTCTGCGTAGCCCTGGCTATCTTGGAACTTGCTCTGTACACCAGGTTGGCTTCTAATTCACAGAGATCCGCCTGCCACAACATTTGGCAGCCAACACGAAGCTTGAAAAGAAAGGAATCTGGACACTCTTAAGGACAGGAAGTAAACGATGTGCAGGATAAGAGGAATCCAGATTTTGGCACGGTCATGGGGAATTTAAACTCCTATCTCAGGAGCAATAAAGTGTGCAGCTGCTAAAATGCTTGTCAAAAGAAAAAGTTCGGAACTGCACAGTCATTGCAAATATCAAAGGTAAGAATAGAATGGCTCTGAGACAAAGAGAAAATCAAGGAAAAAAGGCCTTCTCAGTAGAGAAAAGGGAAGGAAGGAACTCAAAAGGGGCATTTCTCTATGGAAAAGGGAAAAATGTTTAATAAAGAAAAAAAGTTTTTTTTTTTTTGGTTAAAAAGAAAGGAAAATGTTAAATTAAGGTCTAAAAATTAAAAGGCCCCATAAACAAAAAATAAAGGAAAGGAAAAATCCTCTTCCCAGTAGAAATAGAGAACAAAACTGAGCTCTTTCCAATAAAAGAAAGAAATCAAGGCTAGCTGGAACTCAGGGCTCTCTGGCTGCACTCTGCCTGACAGCGGAGAGCTGGGGCATCCGAATTTCACGATGCTGAGTGGGCTTCACTGCTGCGGCCTGAGCTGGCACGGCCACCTCAGAGCTCAGAATTCCCTTGTTGTTTATTTGCTTAACTTTGGTTTAAATGTTTTTGTTTTTTCCCTCAGAGTTCATGGGAAAGGTAAAATACAACTGTGGTCAGGACATAAAGTACTAAGTCAATGCTGTTTGAATTTTCTGCGGTATTAGTCATTCATTATATGGAGGATGTTCTCTCCTCTTGACTATCTAATTAATTTTAAATGAATGTTTAATTTTCATAGTAAATGAACTAAAGGAACAAAATTCATCATCATCATTATTATTATTATTATTATTATTATTATTATTATTATTATTATTATTTTGGTTTTTTGAGACAAGGTTTCTCTGTAGCTTTGGAGCCTGTCCTGGACTAGCTCTGTAGACCAGGCTGGCCTTGAACTCACAGAGATCCACCTGCCTCTGCCTCCCAAGTGCTGGGATTACAGGCGTGCGCCGCCACCACTGCCTGGCTATTCATGATTTTAAACTATATTATTGGATATGCTCTCATTTGTTGATCATTACTGAAAATTTGGCTCTGCTCTTCAAGTTACTTTCTGGAAATTCTTGGTTAAATTCTGTAAAAATGTAATACCCAAAACAGATTGTGTTGTTAGCTTATTAGATAATGTGGTTACTAAGGCAAAAACTCATAAAAAAATAATCTCTTACTGATACAGAGCCTACAAAAATTATTTTTTCACTAAATAAAATACAGGTAAATTGTTCCACATTGTTAATAACTGGCAAATTACATTAACATGTTACTTGGGATCTGTAGAAAAGGACCCTCTTTTTAAGATTTTATAAAAATACTCCATAGGTATTGCCTAAAGTTACCTCTTAAAATCCTATAGAGATTGTTTTTAATGCTTTTATAGATGGCTTGTGTAAGAAGAACTGTACAGATGAAAGTTGGTGATAAAATTGCTCACTTGTTATTACTCCAATGTTTTAAAGGTAAAACAACTCCAATATGTAGAACAGGAGGTTTTGAAAACACTAGAAAAAAAGGCATTTTGGCAAACTGTTATTAGTGACGAGAGGCCAAAGCTAAAATTACAAGTGAACAGCATTGAGATTGCAGACCTAGTGGACACTAAAGTGTAGAAGTAACCGTCTTATTAAATAAGAAACACAGAGCCAATGCAGAGATGAAAGCCCAAGAGGTCAGAACTAAGAGCCTTACCCTTCACTGCTGCAGCTAGCCTATTCAGCCAAGAGACCTACTTCCTGTGTGTTTATCTTAATATAGACTTTCTGTTCTGCCTTCTCATTGGTTGTAAACCCAACCACATGACCGCCTCGTCACTGCCTGTCTGTACAGACCTCCAGGTCTTCTATGGTTGGTATTGAGATTAAAGGCGTGTGTCTCCATCCTGGCTGTATCCTTGACCACACAGAGATCCGCCTAGCTCTGCCTCCTTCAGCAAATCCGCCTGGCGTGCACCACCACAACCGGCTTCTGCTATGGTTTGCTATTAGTTCTGACCCCCAGGCAACTTTATTTATTAACATACAAATAAAATCACATTTCAGTACAAATAAAATATCACCATCCTAAAGTGTGTCTGTAATTTCACAAGAATCTTGAAATCCCACTGGCCTTTATAAGAAGTCTCCACTCAGTTTTTAGGCATTGAACTATTATTTCAGGTGAAACCAACTGTAGAGTGGATTAAATGTATAGGGCCTAAAGGACAAATAGGGATATTAAAGCCTTATGTGGCTGATATAGCCATGAATTTATGGGGGAGGGGAGATTTATTACAATAATGGGGAACTCAAATTAATATTCCTATAATTTCGGAAACAGCTCATAAAATGATGTTAAAAATGGGATATGCTCCTGAAAAAGGTATTAAGGAAAATCACAGGCTATACAGGTTGTTCAACAGCAAGACAAAATAGGAATTGGCTATCCAAATTTGGAATAAGTGCCTCTACTCTACCTTTAAAATGGTTAACTAATAAGCCTGTATGGGTGGAGCAGTGGCCCTTGACTAAAGAAAAATTTTGGGAACTTGAACAACTAATAAAAGAACGGTTAGATGCTAAGCACATTGAGGAAACTACTCATCCTTGGAATTCTCCTGTATTTGTAATAAAAAGGAAATCTAAAAAATAGAGAATATTAACTTATTTGAGAACTGTAAATAAGGTAATTCAACCTGTGAGATCTTTACAGCCTAGAAGTCCTTTACTTTCTTTATTATCTAAAGATTGGCCTAGTATAATTATTGACTTGCAGAATTTTTTTTAGCCTTTTATTGAGTTGGCTTAATTAATTTGAAGTGATACAGAATTCAGAGTACAACAAAGATGAAACAGCTCTGGTAGGATTTCTGACTGGGTTTACTTTAAATTCACAGCTGAGGTAGGAATTGCTGAACACTAGAGACAATGAGCTGTTGTATTATTATTATTATTATTATTATTTACAAAAGTTTACTACAATGTACACCAGGCTCCAGGATAACACTTCATTCTAGCTGTAGGTGGCAAAGATGTTATGGCAGGGAATCCAGATGTTTAAATAGGAAGGGAAGAGGTTCACCATCACCTCAGATATGAGGAACAGCTTACTCTGCCAGATTTCTTAATTCCACCTGTGGCCAGGGGTCCCTTGCCCGCGGCCTTGGCTTTTAGCTCCTCGGGTCTCTTCTGCTCCTCTTTCTGTTTCTGCTTGAAAGCCTCGTCTTCCTCGTCCATCTCCTCGGCCTGCTTCTTGGACTGTTTCAGGGGCTTCTTTTTGCCACCTTCGAGGCCCGACATGGCACCTACAGATTGATTTACAGAATTCTTTCTTCACTATCTCTTTACAAGGACAAGATAGAGAAAAAAATTTTTTTTACCGTGTCTACTTATAATAATCCCAGCCTGTAAAGAGTTATCAATGAAAATACTTCCTTAAGAAATGTTAAACAGTCCAACTTTATGTCAATATTTTGTGCATCAACCACTGGAAATGGTTCGTAAATAATTTTTTCAATCTATTATTTATCATTATATGGATGATATTTTGTTGGCAGCTTCTGATACCTTAGAAAGAATGTTTAATGTAGTACAAAAATTTTTACACTGTTGGGGATTACGAATTTCTCCTGAAAAACTACAAAGAGGAGATTCTCTTAATAATTTAGAATTTAAATTAAGTAAACAGAGAATCCAGTCACAAAAGATACAGATTAGAAGAGATCAGGTACACACTCTTAATGATTTTCAATTTTTTTTGGGTGATACTAACTGGTTATGGCCTACCATTGGATTATCTACTCAAGAATTAAGTAATTTGTTTCAAGTTTTGCAAAGTGACTCAAATTTAAACATTCCAAGACAATTAACAGCTAAGGCTGGAAAGGAATTGGCCCAAGAAGAATAAAAATTACAAAATGCGTATTTGGATCAGTTAGATCTCACAACTAAATGTATTTTAGTAATTTTGCCTTCTAGCCATTCTCCTACTATATTCATTATTCAGAGGGAGGATGATATTTTATAATGGATTTTCCTAGCTCACAGAGTAAAAAATTAAAAACCTATATATAAAAGGTTTCTGGATTAATTATAAAGGGAAGAATAAGACTTTGTCAATTGTCAGGAATGGACAGCTGAGATTGTAGTACCTTATAGTAATGCTGAAATCATGCAATTGTGGGAGATAAATGATGATTGGCAAAGAGCTTGTAGTAATTTCTTAGGAGAAATTAACAACAAATATTTGAAAAGTAAGTGACTTCAGTTTATAAAAAGAGCTGAATGGGTTCTTCCCTGCATAATGAAAAAAAAGCACCCATTTCTGGGGCTCTCACATTTTATACTGATGCAAATAAATTAGGAATAGCTGGTTATAAAGCAGGAAACATCAGTAAAGTAATTCAAAGTCCATATGCTTTAGTTGAAAAATCAGAGTTATATGCCATTCTAATGGTTTTATTGTAGGGTAAAAAAGGCCAAGGAAAGAACACCCTGCCCCTGACTAGATCCAAGACCTGGGCAAGGAAAGACACCCGGACTCTGACTTGACCCCAGAACCAGGGCTTGAAATCCCACCAATCCTTGAGCTTGCCCCAGAGCCAGGCTGCAGAATTCCCCCAATCCCTGAACATGAAATCCTACTAATTCCTGAGTTTGCCCCAGATTCAGGCTATAAAAATCCACCAATCCCAAGCCCCCCTGGAAAGCCCCGGCCCCCAAGCAATCCTAATATAAGGTCTGTAACCTGTTCAGTTTGCTGCTGTTTCTCACCTGAGGCAATCACACTCCTGGATTCTTCCTTCCCAATAAATCTCTTGAGTGAGGTTTGTTGCCCGGTGGACGCTTTCGCCAGAGCAGAGCCCAGCTATAACAACTTTTGCAAGAGCGGGAGCAGAGGGGAGAAGAACAGAATTGTAACGCTTTCACAGGGGAAGCGGTTGCCTAGAGGAGCAGAGTTGTTACACTCCAGGGGACCCAAGCAGAGCTGTAACCCTTCTCTGGAACTGTTACAATTTCACTGGGGAAACCCTCCCCTACTGGAGCAGAGTTGATACACTTGCACTGGGAACTTTTCCCTGGAGCCAGGCTTACAGTGACTTTGTGGTATTCCTTGGCTCCCAACTGCCAGGGGATCCCTTTCCATCCAAGCTGCAATGCTTACATTTATTAGACTTCAATGAATCTCTTAATATGATTACTAATTCTCAATATGCAGAAAGGATTGTATTGCATGTAGAAACTGCTGAACTTATTCCTGATAATTCAGAATTAATTTTGCTATTCATGCAACTGCAACAAACAATCCGGGACAGAAATTATCCACTATGTATCACTCATATTTGATTTCATACCGGATTGCCTGGGCCATTAACAAAAGGAAACGAAGAAATTGATCAATTATGATAGGAAATGTGTTGGAAGCTTCAGAATTTCATAACAGTAAAGACTTAAAAAAATTTCCCATTACCTGGTAACAAGCTAAGGAAATTATAAAAAACTATCTTGCTTGTTCTTTGCATAATCAAGTTCCTTTACATGCAGGAAATAATCCTACACACACACACACACACACACACACACACACACACACCACTAAAATTTGGCAAATGGATGTATTTTACTTAACAGAATTTGGAAAATTAAAACTTATTCATCATACCATTGATACATACTCTAGATTTCAATGGACATCTGCCTTAAGTTCTGAAAAGGATGATTCTATAATTACACATTTATTAGAGACAATGGCCATAATGGGCATACTGATACAAATTAAAATTGATAATGCCCTAGCTTATGTTTCCAGTAAAATGAAACAATTTTTTGCACATTACAACACAAAACACATTACAGGGATACTATATAATTCTACAGGACAAGCAATTATTGAAAGATCTAATCACACTCTAAAAGAGATGCATTTTAAACAGAAGGGGATATGAGGACCCCCCAGGGATAGATTCCATAATGCTTTACTAACTTTAAAATTTTTTTTAAACGCTAATGAAACAGGGACACCAGCTGCTGAAAGGCATTGGACTGCAGAAAAAAAACTGCTGGATTGAGTCAGCCTGTGTATTATAAAGATGTTTTAACATCAAAATGGGAACCAGGAAAATTATTAAGATGGGGCTGAAGGTATGCTTGTATTTCTACAGAAGTTATGGATCCCATCAAAATTGATAAAAGTCCAGCATGAACAAGAGGAGTCTCTAGGAAGCTTTGGCTGCTGAGATGAGTGACGTGACTCTGGGAAAAAAGAAATGCGGACAGATAATCCTCCCATCTGGGGACACATTAAAAACTGTGTGAGAAAGGGAGACGGTGCTTGGACCAGCTCGGAAACCTTTGAACACCACAGACCTGTGCCTTGCTCTGCTATCGGTGGTAACTGTGCAGGTGACCAGGGCCAACGATACATATTGGGTCTATGTTCCTGATTCTCCAGTTAACACAGGAGTAAGTTAGGGAGAGATGGATATCTCTGTGATGGTTAGTGAATCTTCTTGGCTACCTGGTCCTTATGACAACTGAGGACCTGATAAGCCTATGGAGGAGGGTAAGGAAATTAGGGGGTACAAGGAATTGCTATTTGCATGGGAAATGAAATTCAATGTCTAAATATAGCATTTCAAATGTGGCTATCTATAGTTAATTACCAAGATTATCATAATACGTTTTATATGCTTCATGCACCTGGTTTTAAAGGACAGGAGAGTAATGCTATCAGTTCCATAGATCTACCGCTTTGTGAGACGTGGGTTACAAAGAAGGAATCTGACTGGGTACATTGGTGACAGTGTAAGAGCGAGAAACCTTGAGTGCTAATTAATATCTCCTATGGAAATGCCATTGATTGGGGCCCTTATGGCATCCCTCAAGGAAAATATTCTCACTCAGAATTAAGATGGCACAGGTATAGTTCAAATGGAATTGTAGAAATTAGTTCAACTGTTAATGAACCTATTCAATGGCATGGAATTGGAATGTCAAGTCCTCTCCTACAATTTGGCAATTCAGTTCAGACTAACTTGTGAAAATTAACAAGTGCCTTCCATTCTCTTAAAGCATGGGATGGAGAGTTAAACATTAAAAGATGATAAGCATACTTTGTCCTTTAGACTAAATCAAAGCCATCCTTTTTTTTTTTTTTTTTTTTTTTTTTTTTTTTTTTTTTTTTTTTTTTTTGGTTTTTCAAGACACAGTTTTTCTGTGTAGTTTTGGTGCCCGTCCTGGATCTCACTCTGTAGACCATGCTGGCCTCAAACTCACAGAGATCCACCTGGCTCTGCCTCCTGAGTGCTGGGATTAAAGGCGTGCGCCACCACTGTCCAGCTCAAAGCCATCCTTTTATAGCATGTGTACCATTATTTGCTACTGAAGGAGCTTGTACAATGGTACACTAATAATTGTAGCATCACTTGTGAACACTGTACCCTTCATACCTGTGTTAATTCTAGTATGTCTTTAAATGTAACCTCTGAAAGTTTATACATTCTTTGAGCAAGGACAGCAGTCTGGATACTGGTGAAGTTGCCGAGGCCATGGCAAGACTCACCCGTGATGATCCTGGTATAGAAGCTCACTGAGAGAATATTAAGAACACACAAATGTTTGGACAGGTTCTCACTCTGGTTATGGGAATTATTTATTGACTGCTACTGCTACAACAGCTGGACTGGCACTTCATAAAGAGATTCAAACTGCTAAGTTTGCTAGAGACTGACGTAAGCATTCTACAGAGTGACCCTGTTTCTTCCACAGACCCGTGTGAACCAAACCCAACACCACACCTGTCTCCTTTTCAGACTCAAATGCTAGTCTCTTACAAAAGCACCCTTATAGAGTATCCAGGAATAATGTTCATATGTCTATCTAAGCATCCCATGGCTCAGTGAAACTGACAGTAGATTGAACATCTTAACTGGGCAATCCCAGCTCTCCACTGCCCCCTCTTATCACCCTTTTTGCTGGAGGATAGGGGAGGGAAAGGGATAAAGTAGTGACTGGAGGAGGGGTAGTCAGCACAGAGGGAGGCCAGGTCAAAACAGAGGCACTGGGTGTGAGCAGGTCAGGGCTGCAGGGACCTGCAGGGTGTGTTCTTCAGTGCTCCCAGATAATTGGAGAGAAGAAAAAGCCACTGAGGCCTCCTTCAAGCAGCCCAAAGGGAAGAAAGCATATCTCTGAGGAGCCTTATCTAGGACCAGAAGCCCCTGTTGGCCCAAAGGCAGACCCCACATACTGGAGCCCATCTAGACACCAAATTCCCTCCCTATGTCTCTTAAAAGCAAAACAAA